AATAAACAAACAACAACAAAAAAGAAAACCTGCCTCTTGTGCATACACAAGAAATCATTTCCCACCCAAGTTTTTAACAGCATATCACAAACAGAATTTTAGCATCATGCTGGAGTCAGGATGTTGTTCTGCTTCAGGTTACCTCATGTTGAAATGGTGAGATGATCTGGTTTGCCTGTATGTTACAGATTTGGGAAGCTGAAGTTGAATAGCAGTGGATAAAGACCCATGCATCTTTCTTTTTCATCCACTACAAAACATACAGATGAGAATAACAAAAAATGCTTCTGTTTTGATATGCAATCATTTAACAAGGATACAAAGTCTCAATTATGCACACTCAGACAGCGCACATGTTAATCTGTGTTCAATTTACCTTTCCTTAAGCATAAAAACTCATGCCAAAAAACGAGACAGTGAACTTAAAAAGACATATGGTTTAAGACATATAGTTGAATAGCTTCTCTGCCTTCAAAAAGAAAGTTTAACAGCGCAAGCGCATGAACAAAGTCTTAGTTATATCATTCTCCTCTTCTCAACGTTTCTGAACTCCTAAAATACAAGTTACTCCAAATTACAACTCAATCAGTAACTCCAGCTCCCTTTTAGATCTATGGTTCAGACTGCTGCCCCTTCCTATTCAAATTTAACAGGTTATGTGCTGAAGGATCAATTCCTTGATATGGCAAGAACATATACTTTTTTTTTTTAAATACAAATTTCTCTGACTTTTAAACATTTAGAACGCCACCTATAAAGCTGCTTTATATATTGAAATGGGGAAACAGTATTTTCAGTTAAGTTTAGTGACTCTTTCACTTTAGCTAGCAACCTTTCTGCAATGTCAGTGGTGCAAAGGGGTAATCAATGGCAACAATCACTTTAGAAGCATCCTGACAAATTCTCACAGGGCCCTTTTCTGGTGCCAATTCACGTGCACCCAATTTAAGTTTGGTACACTCTGTTAACAAGAGCTCAATGTACAGACAACATTCTTCAATTTTACAGTCCTCCTATTACTAGGTTATAAGTGTTCATATATACACACACACACACACAACCATGTATGCATGCATCTACACATAGAGAGAACTCTAGGTTAAAAACTGAAGGTTAAAAACCTTCAACACAAGGTTATCATCATCTTGGAACCCAGCAACAGCCAAAAGGAAGAACAGTTATAGCTCTGTCATCAAGACACAGTCCAAACATCATGGTCATTACCACCACATACCCTTTTATATATGAACACTTTCTAGAGGAAAAAAGTTTCATACATGAAATATTCACAACATTGTAACATATTCAATATGTATTTATTCAATATTTTTATTAAGACTATTTAAAAAAATAATCTTAGATACTCTTTATTTTCACAAGGTGTATGCAATTACGAGTAACCTACATTTAGGCTCTAATACCTTAATCCAAACCCCATTAACTTTAACAGGCTTTAGATCAAGCACGTGAGAGCTGTAACAAACTATTTCAGGAGGTAATTCCCCATGCAACATCAAACTATGACAAGACACAAGAGGCTAAAAATGGCTCATCATAATTTATTTTATGTTAAAATGTACAGCTTAGGGTTTTTTGTTTTTACGGTTTTTATTTTTGTTTCTTGTTTGTTTTTTTTAAGTGACTGACTGACTAAAAAGATAACAGATAAATACAAGAGTGTCACTGGGTTCTATTTTTACATGTATCAAGCCTCTTCTGTTCGGCCTTTACAGTCACTCTGTACAGGTACAAAGGCTACAAAAAAGGAAGCAATATAAACAGACACAAATAACTTTTGCCTTTTTACATGCGATCTGTAAGCTTAGTTTGAGCTATTCACACGCTACTGCTCTATTTCTTCCCTTAAAAAATAACTCCAATATTTTATAAAGATAGAAAAATCTACAGATGGAATGAAAATGTAAAGTTAGAGGCATTTCCATAAAATAGCAACTTTACACCAAATTCACTACTTTTTTTAAATCCTGCCAAGTATTGGACATTTATGAAAATGTTTCAAAACTTGACAAATAAACACTGAGATATGCTTCCATCAACAAAAAAAAAAAATCAGTATTTATAAAACAGAAAGCTGCCTTTTTCCCTACCCGAGCCCCAAAGAAACTGGTCACCAAAATGGAGAAGAGTCTCAACTTTACACCAAACATATAGCAATAAAACCCTTTGAACTAACCAAAATGTGAATAGCTTTTGCAGCTTTTTTTAATTATTTTTACAAGTTTTATAATTAACAAAAATATAGTTCTGTTTTTTTTTTTTTTTTTACCCTCAAATTAGGGTAACCTAATCAAGGCAAAAAAATTAAGAAATGGCTTACTGTTAAGCACAACACTTGTACAGTACTACAAAATGCACTGTCACTAACAAAGACATTAGCGGCATGCGGAAGTGTCACCTTCAGAAACAAAATAATACAATAAAAGAACTGCTAAAAGGCATTTACATGTGGGGAAAGGAGAGAAAAGCTCAGGATCCAGTACTGTCTGGTAGTTTTGGAGTCTATTTATCCACATTTTTAATGGGAGCAGGCACATAAAATGGCTCTGAACCATCAGCTGCTGTGTAATTGCAGTTCATAGAAAGAGTTCTTCCTTTCCAGAGAACTTCAAGCTCAATAAAATAAACAGAAAATAATGGAAAACAATGTAATCCCCCCCCTCCCCCAAACAAAACACAGGAAAAAAAAACCCAAAGTTTTTTTTTGTTTTTTTTTTGTTTTTTTTTTGTTTTTTAAAGAAAAACAGGAAATGAGAAAAAGAAAAAAGAAAACTTGTATAAGGCTTTCTGCTGCATACAGCTTTTAAATGGTGCCAACAAATGTTTTTGCATTCACACCAATTGCTGGTTTTGAAATCATATTCTCCAAAAGATATTTGTGCAGATCGATCCAATTTGCCAGTTTGGTAGGTTTATCTCTCCAGAGGGCCTACCTTCTCATGTAGGATCCGTTAAGAGACTGTTTAGACATGCCTGTATTCATGTAGCCATGATGCCCTGGAGGAGTGTACATCATGTTACTGTGGGGTGCTGTCTGCATTGGTTGCTGTGCATATGGCTGAGTTCCCATCATCCCCATCTGCATCTGCATAGGGTACTGGGGTGTTTGATTCATATACCCGTGATTACTATGATATCCACTATTCATCATGGGCTGGGACATACTATATCCATTCATAGCATTAAGGGTATTCATATTCATGTTCACTGAATTGACATTATAAGCTGGGGCTGGCATTAAATTTACACTCATGTTCATACCACGCTGCATCGTTAAGGTCCGTGCAGGCCCTTGCATAGCCACAGTCTGTGAAGCACGCCCATAAATTTGTGGCTGATGGGCTGCTGCAGCAGGTGACAGAGGCATGGATTTGGTTCTTACAGAAACATGACCTTTGCTGGCCATCTGAGTCTGCAGTCTTTGGGTGTGGGACATGCCAATATTTGACGAAGCCATATTACGCTGTAAAAGGGGAGGTGGCAAATTCATAGGAGGAGGAGTAAGGTTGGGGGGAGGGGTCATGGTAGCCTGTGCTTGGGGTCCTCCAGGAACAGCATGTGGAGACTGAGAAAGCTGAACAAGCCCTGTATTACTTAAGGGGGTGGACAAAGAGGCACTGTTTGCATAGGAAGTTACAGCAGCTGAATGGCTGTAAGGCAAAGAATGATCCATAAGCGTGTTAGTTAACTGTTGCAGTTTGGCAAGGCTGAACGTGGCAGATGGCTGTGAGTAATGCCCCGCTCCGAATTCGCTCTGACCCATTCTTTCATATAATCCAATGTTGCCATTGCCAGTCTCGGGAATTTCTGTTAACTGCATAGGTGGTGTAAAATTGGCAGCCAGGCTGCACTGAGATAACTGTTGGTTGCTGCTTGGAGGCCTTTCAACAACACAACCTTGGGGAGATTTTACATTACAGGTAGAAGGAGAATTGATGTTAGTTTGTTGCATCATACTGCAGCTTCCATTAATGTTAGACATCTGTTGCGTTACCGCACAGCTACTCTGCGTTAGATTACTAGATGTAAGGCTACTGTATGAGCAACTGTTCTGTGAAGAGTTGTTTCCACAGATACTACTACCCATTGTAGAATCGTAACTGCTTGGGTTTTCGTAGTTTTCTGTTGTGCTCTCAATGCTCCCTAAATCACTAAACCCACTGTCCACAACTTGTTGTGAATGATCAGAAACAGAAGGAACATCCATCATTGGGCTGGTCTCCATGTTCTGCAGAGATGGCACAGAAATGGCACTTTGATCTGGGCTGATCTGAGCATAGCTGTTCTCTAACGGAGCAACATTTGGACTATTAACAGAACGAACTGACTGACTGGGATGAGAATGCACAGACGAAACTGGGCTACTGTGGTCAGACTGTTGGCAATCATCCAGCGAGGTCATCTGGGGACTTTGGTCAGTACGGGTATAATTTTGCAAACTTCTGCATGCCTCCTGAGTCTCTGCACAATCCTGAAATGCATCTTCATGTTCACTCGCTTCTTGGGTTAGAGACTGTACTGCTTGAACTGTCTCTGAATCAATCTCCATGGTTTCAGTATTCTCTTCCTTAAAATTGGAATGTAATTCTTCACCAGATTTTTGGTCCTGGTTATCTGTATGATCATCATCAGATTCAGGCACCGGGGCTGAATCTGTAGCAAGTTCTTTCTGGTTGCTTCCAGACTCATCAGCTGCAAGGTCAACCCCACAATCCATTAAGTCCTCCTGATTTGAATTACCAGTTTGAACATTTACGTCTAAAAAAGACTGCTGCGTCTCCAGCATTTCTTTGAAAGCTTCACCAGGCAACTCCTCTTTCTCCACTTCTGTGGAACCCATGTGGCTATCGTCTTCATCATCTGCATCATGATCCTCATTGTGAGAGGGTTCTTCCTCTTCCTCCTCTTCCTCCTCAGGATCATCCAAATGCCTAGACTCTTCTTTCTGCAAAAAAAGATCTTCTGGTTTGTCTTTCTCCTGATCCTTTGAATTGATTCCACCATCTTCTATGTTCCTTTCTTCTTCCCCAGCTCCCATCATAACATTTTCTTGTTTTTCAAAGGGTTCCCTGGGTGGATGCAGAGGTTCATGTTCTAGCTCTTTTGCCTCATCCTCTGGTGGCTGTAATACTTCAACAGGCTCTTTAATCTCTTCCTCTGCAACAGCAGGAACTGGGCAGGGTTTGTCTTCAGCTACTTCCTTTTGTTCTTCCACCAGCACTTGATAGTCAGGCTCCATAGGAGTTTCAGGTGGAGTGTACAAATTAAGTTTAAAGCCGGGTTTTCTTTCTTTGTTTTGCCTCCATTTAGATGGACCACGCTTAATTCCTTTTGGCCAGCCCTGCTTACACTTCAAATGTTCAAGATTGTCTTTAGTGTTTTCTTCCAATACAGCTACATCCTCTGTATTATCTTCAGGAGGTAATGAATAGAGACAAAAAGAAAAGTCTTAGCTTGCACAAATCAACCAATTAACATATTCAAAAGATAAATCCCAAAGTAACTTATAACCTCAAATGCATTATAAAACTCTAACAAGAGTTATAAACAGATATCAAACCAAAATAGGAAGACAACGTCTACTGCTCAGAAGCACTTGCACAGGTCTGTCAAGTGCTGCCTGTGTAGTGGCCTTTTAACAGGGACTATCAGAACCACCATTTATACACTAAAGCAATCATACAGATGTAAATCAGAAGACATGCAAACTAAAGCAAACATTGTCCAAAGATCTGATTATTAATCTTTGGATTTAGAACAGAGGTATACTGTTACTGTATATAGACATGAATTTAACGTATATTCATCCTTTTTGACATTAAAAACATGACAGCCTAGAATCTCATACTACAGGATTTTGTATTACAAGCTAGAATAATCACGTATATGTGTTAGTACCAACACTGAAAAAAGGTAGGTAGGTTATTTTAATTACTTCTCACAGGCAGCATATTGTACAGCAACTCACAATATGTGACAAAGGCCGAAAAATAACCGAAATTAAACAGAGAGCATATCAGAACACCAGATCAATATCAACAATAAAAATGTGCTATACATACTCACTCCTCTCCTCTCTCTCCCCAGATCACACTTACATAACACCAGAAAAAGGGAGAAAGTCTATTCTCAAGATATGACGTGCCGCACTTGGGAGTGTAATGGTGTCAGTGATACTCCTTTACCAAGTTCTATCTCTCCCTGTAGTGTTATAACATTCCTACAGTCAATTAGCATGATGATATGGTCTATGGACAAACACACCATATCAGTCTAGTTAAAGCAGTACAAACCCGATCACAGGGACACAGCTACAACACTGAATTTATCAGTTGAATTCATTTCTGTTGAGAAGCAGGAACAAATAATAACACTCTAATGTATCTGTGTCCTAATTTGTAACGATATCAACGTTCTTAAGCAAGGCTGTTAAACTAGCACAAAAGCTGTTTAAAACAGAAGTCAGTGGACGATCCTTTAACTGGGGAGAATCACAAAAATTCAACTTCCCACCTAATCATGAAAACACTAGAGAAATACCCACTGGCTTCCAAAAGAAGATATTTAGGCCTCAGAATCCAATCACTCATTCTGGAATTAAAACTTACAAATGCGTTTGAGAGTCAGGAAATCAAGGGATGAACATACTTTCAGAATGGTTCATTACTGGTTTCTCTATCCATCTGTTAGTTTTTCTATCAGTAAATATCCTTGAAATCAAACTAGATAAGTAGCTCTGAAAGAACAGAATTAAAACTCTCGCACTCTTTTTTTTTTTTTGGGGGGGGGGATAACTGTAAGAGGACATACTGTTCCCCAGAAACTACACACATTTCACTGAATTACCAACAATGCTGAATAGAGAGATTATTGTACAAGTTGCAGCTTGCTTTTTGCTTGTATCACTGGTAAAGAACACAAGAACAATATTAGACAATATCCCAGTGATATCCCTGCCCTGTTTAAGTGCCCAGTTGTAGGGACATAAAAACTGCTTTTGCCAACAGGAAAAGGACTACAGTGTTTCAGATTGAAAAAATATTTCTATTTTTTTCTGAATAACAGATCATAGTATTAACGGGGCAGGGACAAAAGAAGTGAACATTATAAAAACAACAAAAAATCTGAAACTGCCACATAACAAACTACATCCCTGTAGCATTTGTAATGAGAAGGCACTATTAAAAGCATGCATTAAGTTGATCTTAAAATTTTAAGACCAAAACAGCTAAGTAGGAGTGGTTAAAAACTTCCAAGTTTATGACAAAAATAAACTCTTCCTTTGAAGGCTACATGACAAATAAGTTTTGCAAAGATAGAAGAATATTTTCAGCTTACTTGGACAGTTATCATCACTCCTGTAACAACGAATGTCTTTCTCCTCCTTATTCTGCTCTTCCTCCTCCTCCTCATGTTTCTGCTGCCCAGGTTGATACTCAAAAGCTTTTCTAATCACAGGCTTCAAGTCATCATCTTCCCCATCCATTTCACAGGTAGGTTCCAACTCGTCGGAGTTATCAAATGGCTCGTTTAACACCTCTGTTGTTTCGGAAATCGTCTCTGTTGTAACACTGCTATTAATCCTTCTGCGTTTACGGCCTCTTTTCTTTTTCAGTAAGAAAGGTCTCTGAAAAACAGTTCCACATATATAGCTCTTCCTTTGTTCGTTTGTTAGCTGACTCAGTGCATAAAAAACATATTTGTAAAGCAAGTTACAATCTAGTTACTCATTCAAAAAATTACCTTATACTGCATCAAATTCAAGTATACACAGAATCTACCAGTAAAATATCTTATGTATAAATAACAAAAATAGGAGTGTGCATGTACAGATACAAGCACACAAATTAACTCTTCTGTACATGAAAATTAAGAATAAAAATGTTCTCATACTGTAGCAATTTCTACCTTCTACTTTTGTCAATTTTCATAGCAGGGTTATATAAACTATATTTACAAATTCTTCTCTGTAGATTCATACTTCAAGAACATTCACAAGTATGAGATAAAATTTCTTCTTCTACATTTCTGGTTCCTGCTATTTTTGAAATAAACACGCATATAGAAAAGAAATAGATAACAGTAAAGAAAATACATCAAGCTTCACATGGGTCTTAGTAATACACTAAAGAATCCTGCAGCTGATTGATGTAAAGAGGAAAAAAAGTGTCCAACAGTTATTTCTACTGTTAAGCATTTATCTCTCTCTCAGATTTATAGTCACTTTTAGGTTTTCTCATCTAAGGTAAACAAAAAGGGACATTCCAATTCCCTAATTCTCAAAGACATCTAAACACATACACTGCAGTAAGTGCTCTAAAATTTTGGGATGCTTAGTTTACTCGCTTTAACCATTCAAACAGCTAATTTTTAACCAAATGAAGAATTACATGAACACCTGAGTAACCAGGATTTAACATTTAAATCTCTATAAAATGAGACTTCTATGTGTAAAAAGAACTGTTCTTTACAGTATTTGCTGAGGAGGGGGTGGGGGAAGGTACTCCCCTAAAGGACTTCCTATAGGACCTATAAAAGACAAACCCCACTACCGGTTTGACTCCATCTTAAAATGGAAAAAGAACAATCATTAAAATATTGAACCAATACCAATACTAAGCAGCAGAGGGCAGTCACTAGTTTAAAAAGTAACAGAAAAATCTGAGTTTTAGTGCCACCCATGTTTTTACACTACTGTGAAAAACCCAAAAGATAAAAAGAATTGGAATAAGGAGAAAAAACAGAATTCAAGAATTGTTTAGTGTCCAAACACAATTTAGGAAAAGATTAAAACATTCTAATGCTTGTAAGCAAAACAGATACCCATTTTGATGATAATGATTTGATTGAAATCAGATCTCAACACCTTTAAACCAAACTACTGAAGTAACACACCTTTCTTTTTATGGCCAGCGACTGTGGCTTTGTCAGCCGGGGAGGCGAACTTTGCCGATTCTGATCCCCACCATCCTCCTCGCTGCTTTCTTTAGATTGCTCTGTGGATTGCCCTCGCTCCCCCACCACTGCCACACTCTCTGGAGATCGCAAATATTTATTTTTAGATTGTACTTTTGCAGGTGATTGCCTACTATTAGTTCGTGTAGAGAATATTTCTTGCTCTTCTTTTTCCCAGCAGCTAGCTTGTTCCATCAGACGCTCAGCCTGAAGGGTTGAGGTTAAAATAATGGGTCACTGAAACAGCATTTACTTAGCCATATCCTTTACATTCAACTGAAGAGCTGCAATAAGTCAACCCTGATTAGCACTACTGGCTAACCTAGCAATAACATTTCAGCTGAATCATCTAGTAGCTCCTTTACAACAGTTAGGATAACAAACCAAAGAAGATTGCATTTCATGGGATATTTAGCACTATTAATGATGCAGCGAATTGATTTAAGTCCTTTAGCACTACATTACATGCCCACTGACATGGATCACTTTGAGCAAGTTCATAACACAAAGAATCGATTGACACTGCAGCCCTTGAGCTCTGCACCAAATTTGATCTGATTACATGCTCCTCAACTACTTCAAGAGTGATAAATACAGCTCCATGTCAAGCGATTCGTGTTTTAAGTTTTCATATTCATCCCTCAAAAGTTATCAAGTCTTGCTGCACAGCTTCCAAAAATTGTGCATTACAATATCACAGTTTCCACCATCACTAAACAGTGGTCAAAGTTCAAACTGTTCTGTTTAAGGCAGCCTACTATTGAATACTAAGTAGTAATAAGATCTAAAGAAAGGGAAATTCAGAATAAAGTGTCTGCTATTACCTCCTTTTCAGCTTCTCTCTCTTCTTCAGAAACTGCAGCATTAGAAACTAACAAAGGAGTCCATCTCAAGCTTTCAGGATCTACTTCATTGACACGTGGATTTGCTTTCAGCTTCTCCATGTGATTTGAAATCAACTTTTCCCTTCTAATAATTACAAATCTACAATCCAATAAACAGTATTTTATTTTAGGAAATAGTTACATAAAAATAATCTTCCTATAGTTTAAATCCTTTTGCACAATAACCTGTGAAAGTAAGCAGGTAAAATAATGGATACATAGAACTAGATACAAGCTGACACACACAGATATTCGCTTATACTGTTGACTGCCTACTAAGAGGAAGAAAGGAAACAGCAGGTTATGAAGTGAAAGCTCAACACTAAACATCACTAAGGCTACAGAGAGAAAATAAATATTTTTATAGTTGACTACTGGAAATCCATGCAAAAGGTTTATTCTAGGCCCTTAAGCCACTCTGCCAGAACAATTTCCAATTTTAGTACAGCATACAGACACAAACAGAATACACGGAGTATCATGAAGTAAAGAGGGGGAAAATGCTTAATATCAGAACTGAAGATGGCAGCTAACAGGATAAGGAAGCAAGTTACGAGCGCAGGAATTTAATGAAACATAGAAATGTAGCTCAGTCCTATGCTGATGAAGTAGAAAACAACTTTCTACTACGAAATGGAGCATCACACGCAGATAAAGACTATTCTAACAGCACGGTATGCCAGTATCCTGGCAGGTCCCCCAAAGTCCCATTATAAAGCAAAGAACTATCAGATCCTAAACAAGAACATTTTCTTTTTTAGTAGTGATTTTTAAAGCTTTAGAAATCAGATAGGTAAGTGACATTCTTCCTTTTCACTGAGAGGACACTTTAAAATCCAATCCAGGTAAACCCTTTAAATAACGGAGCAATTCTTTCTTTTCCAAATTGCAGAATTATGACAAACCTCCACTTTAACACATGTGAGAAATTAATAAAACACAGGACAAACGGGATGAAGTACCATCTTAGTGGCATAGGAGCTCATAACAAACCATAACTGCTTCCAAAGGTAAGTGTCTGGAAGGGAATTGCAAAGACATGATTTCTGCTCCTAGATCAGCCACTCACCTGCTGAATAACTTTAGCCACATCAATTCATTTCCCTGTCTAAGCTTTACTACCTATGAAATAAAAACTAACTGACTTTGTTTATAAAGTATTTTGAATTCTATAGATGAAAGCATTACTTTATAACTGGGTATCATTATTTGGGGTTTAAAGCAGTTTGTGACAGGGTGGAAATCACATACAATCAATACATATTTGATTATCTTTTACACTTGTTTGTCTAATCAGGTTGCCCACAAGTAAGTGCCCGAGAAAGGTAAAGTTTTAAGGTACAGACAACTCTTCCTGCCCTCACCACACCAATCTCCTTTTTGCCAGACTCCCTTTTAAATGCTTGCACTAGTGCTAGTGCACACAAAAATCTGAGACTGAGCTATTGGCCATCTTCATTTTAGTGTTTTGTTGTTGTTGTTGTTGTTTTTGTTTTTTGGCAACCTACTGTCCCTCTGTAGGGCAGTTTTGTTTAATTTTAAGTTTCTGCAATTGTAACATTCAGGTAGACTTCAAAAGCTCTTCAAAAACACAAATACCACTGAAAGTCCTTTAGAGGAACTTCTAAGCACTTTACGGAAAAACACGCTTAAAACAATCAATCAAGATCATTAAGAAACATACGATTCACAAAGAGGGAATAGCCTCAGCATTTCCCAGTGTGTTAACTTTCAACACTGATCATAACATCAAACAGAAACTTAAAACAGACAAACAACCCCCCCCCCCCCCCCCACACACACACACCCCCTAATCAAAACACACACACACACACACAACTGAAATCCCAGTGCTTTGGGTAGGACTTTGCTGACCTGTTCCCCATAGCTTGAGTGAAGTCTGCAACAAATGAGAAAGTGCACCCACACACCTACAAACCAAAACTTTTCCCTTCACTGCTACTCAATGCAAGACATTTGCAAAACAGTCAAGAATTGTAGTGAGGGAAGATGATACTAAACGAAAAAACTTCTCAACTGAAAGTGTTTCAGGTTAGCCACACCCTTGTAATCACTTCAACCAGAAAGACCACGCGAACAGCATTGTGAACAGCATTATTTCCTTAGGAAGAAAAAAGTCTGAGGCCCACTTAATAAGACCTGGCCTGACTGACTTCTTCGTAAGACTCCTAACTTTGATTTTAAACAGACATTCTTCATGTTAAAAAAGTGTTTTTAAGCAGAGAAAGGGAGTCTTTTGTCTTGTTTTTTTTTTTTTTAATTAGCATAAGATTCACTGACCTATCTTCTCTTTTATCTATCATGCTATGCTGCTGCAGGGTTGTGGCAATATCGTGCGGACACATTCCAGTAGCTCGGCTCATTCCTTTGATGCTGATTTGTTTTTCATGGTGGCAGTTAAGGTATTCTAATATAACACTTTTCCAGTAAGCGAAGTATGAGAGACGACCCAGATCAGACAGTGGCTTTTCAGGGGATCCTGCTTGTCCCTCTCTTCTAGAAAGTAAATAACCTAGAAGGAAGGAATAAATAAATAAATAAATATTGTATTATTAAGATAACAAAACTGAAGAATATAAGCTACCTTTAAGGAAGCTGACATTAACAGAAAGATCAGCACGACCAATTATTTCGTCAGTAACTCTTGAAATTAGGAAAAAACCAAACCTATACACAAGAAGATTGTTTTTCATAATTACAATGAAATCAAAAATGATTTCAAATTCTTAATGAGTCAGATCTTATGATTAGGACACTCAAACATTAACCAAAAAACCCCCTTCAAATTACAAGGTAAGGAAGAAAAGAAATGCCAACGTGTTTCAGGACAGTAGCGCTAATCATACATGTTCTCATTTAGGACTATAACTGTCTGGCCTTTGTGACTAACTTTTACACCTGAGTTACATCACCGAAGCCAAGAATTTTCAGTAGAATCTCCAAAGGAACTGTCATGGGTAACACCAGGAAGAGTCAGTTTTCTTCAAGAAGTCCCAAGTGACAAGCGTTTTTGATTAAACAGTCAGTGACTATTTCAGCAGTGATATATAATTCATGAGTTTAATTAAGATTTCTCCTGAGAAATTCAACTAAGAAAATCATCTTCCTTAATTCACATTTAAGAAAATTCATGTAGTTCTAGTTTGAAGTCTCCAAGACCATAATCAATCAGCTATTATATGATAAAAATGTATCTTCCAGTATAAAGTATACAACACCTTCATTTTATCTATGTAGTAAGTCCTGTTTTACTCTCTTCAGCTTTAAGAAGCTTTTACAAATTAAAATAGAACACACCTGCTTAGAGATAACAGAAGTCTGATATATCAATGTGCCACTACTAAAATAATCCAGGAAAAAGAAAAAATAGCACAATTAATAAAATTTATCCTTTGATGATAATATTCTGCAATGCACTTTTACAAACACTGTTCAAACATGCACCTTAAATACCAGGCTGACAAAATGCTTATGCCACCATAAGCAAGGGCATCATGCTTATGGCATTACATTACTCAAAATCAACTGGAGTCCAGTAACATTCCCAGTTCTTTTGCCAACAAATAGCCTTCTTAAATGCTTTAATTGTTACAGAAAGAAAAGCGGGAATCCCTTTTTTCAGCTTTCAAAAGTTGCTTTAAAACATAGCCTAACACAGCCACGGCACATTTGCTGAACAAATCCTCCAGTATTGACATAAGTAGTGTAGCCCTTAGATATCTTTTAGCGTGATTTGTGATGAGAAAATGTCAGAGCTTCAGGAGGAAAGCCATCCTGCATCTGCCTTCTTCTTCATAGCACATCAATACCCACATGAAGTCTGCCTATATATGCAAGGTACCACTGGAAACTCAGTGAGCAAACCTAGTCTGCTCTACAGAACACACGCTACCTTAGACCTTAAGAGGAAGGTGCTTTAACATGAGAAGCTGGAGTATATTAAAATTTTTATAACCAAATGATGCATCTCTGTGCTCTAGGTAACTACTGTCAACAGGGAAAGACAAACTTCACACTCAAAAACTGATTGCATCTTAATTAATTTGAAGGTGAAGAATTATTGTTTTGCTTCTGACTGCACTAAGGGAGACCTTGACTTCATGTACAGCCTGTTCTGCATCATTTTAGACAAAGCTTCACTCCTACTAAGTAAGGATTTTGGATCAGCTTGTTTACGAGATATAAATACATACTAGATTTATTAAGAGTATATGCTGGATGCCATTGCCTATAGAAAAACATGCAAGTCTGCAGAAGTACAAGTAGTGATGGGAGTATCAATATAGGAGACAGGAGCAGAACCTACTATTTTACAATAATTCCTTGGGGAGAACTTAAAAGGGACTTCGAATAACTTCACAGTTTTACCTATCAACTTAACATCCAAGAACACTTGGACACTACTAACAAGTGACTGCAGGCTATCTCTGCAAGATCTGGATCTCATTCTTGTATTTCACTACACTTTAAAATGACTTTGGGCAAGAAGTTTCTCCCTGTGCTTTCATTTACCTCGTACATAAAAGGGCTGTAATTACAACTTTCTTGTTAATAGAAAGCACTGTCAAGAGTTTAGTATTATCAATTAGGCAACTGCATATAGCTTTATACTTTTACTAATATATCCTTGAGCATCACATCTTTCCAATGGCCGGGGACTTTGAGACTAGTTCTCAGTGGCCATTTTGACATATTCTTACTTCATGTTAAAGCACTGAAACTTAATTCGCACTGCAGTAACACTTGTTGGTATTCTTCTCCTACCGTTCTACAACAGATCTGTGTGTGTCCAAGATACTCACATTCCATAGTATCAAAAATGTAAATTTGAACTAACAGTCTGAGTAGTTACATGTAACGAGCATTGAAGGAAAAGTTTCTTATAAGATTCCGTGATTTGAATGACATCTATTAAATTAAAACTTACCAAAGAGACGCCAAATAATTGATCTAAGTTGCAGGTAAATAAAAAAGACTGATCTTGGTAGCTCGTGTATTTATCCTGAAGCATCTGAAATGAGTACAATACGCCCCTGTTAAACAGTTACCCCCAGTGTCATTATGTCTACCTAGTCTTAATAATGGATAGCCTCAAAATGAAAACCTAACAGAACGCTCGAACCCATGATTTGAGACTATCAACAATGGCAATATTTGGAGGACAGAGTATAAAACACCCCTCACCCCCCAACGTGTAATTGAGTCTTAGACTGTATGTTACGAACAAACAGAAAAACCAAAATAAGACCTAACCTGGAAGAACAAAGTTGTCTATCTTTTCTTCTGTGTACAGAAGTAGTACCATCACAAAATTAAATAGCCAAAACATAATTAACTATTTGCATTGCATTTTCTCATCTTCAGCCTTCACAGTGAAGCAACATGTTCATGCGACTTACAGCCTCTGATTTTGTCATGCAAACCTCCCCAGAATCACACTAGGTTTCATCTTATTCAACTTTTTAAATAATTGGAAGAAATTCAATTTGAGAAAGGGAAAATTAACGTTATATATATTTTATAGCTACATCACAAATTTAGAAGATCAGACATTAAAACATTCAATTAAAGAAATTCAGCTGAACAATATCTCGTCCTTTCCATCTGCAGCAGTATCTAGCCCTAATATTTAATGCCCCTGAAGTAGTTACCTACAACAGATGCTACAGCACACTTGCATTAAAAAACAGTAACTTATAATATAATTGTGCAAGTCTCCAAAAATCTTTAGTTAGATAACTAACTGTTATGCTCAGTTCTGTCTCTTAAAACAGGCCACATGACGTAAGATTAGAGATTCAGCTAGCTAATACCCTGTTCTGACAATGGTCAACATGGGGGGAAAAAAAATAGATTGAAGTGGACAATCATCTTATCAAATTCACACCCAAACAGAATTATTCTGGCTCTGTCCAAACAAACTCTATCAGTCAGATACATATTATCCCCATGCTTGTTGACATCTTCCAAGCAGTCAGTAGATTTGTTAAGTATTGCCGTCTTGTGCAAGTGGCATAGAGTCTATCTTCCTCCATTCATTGCATTTACCTGTATGTTCGTTAGTTCTATTCTTTATTGTAGTTTCTAGTAATTTGCCTGTTACTGACATCAAGTGAATTGATTTGCATCTCCCTAGCTCTCTCCTGGATTTTTTTTTTTTTTTTTTAAAGAAACTGGAGTCTCATTAGACAACTTCCAGTACTACAGCACTAATGCAGTTTTATGCCTATCACAAGTTACACATTACCATGAGCATCTATTTTATCATTAAGTCCCTTTAAAGTTCTTTGGTAAAAAAACATTTGTCATTTATGACTTTTCCCATTAACACTTTTATTAGTGGAAAGAAATAGACAGAAGTTTTGGTATTTTAAATCTCATGTGAAGAATGCAAGATTTCCCATGCCAGAACCCAAATTCTTCACTTTCTAGTGAGAAACCAGAAGTAAAAACCAGAAGTTACATTTCAGCTTTTTCTGCAAAATGCTTTTTTTGAAAGGAAAAAAGAAAAATAAAAACACACACACCTTGTTTGCCCACCTTGTTTGCCCATTGGCTACCAAAACCTCAGCTTCCAGCATCTTTGCCATTCAAAAATAGGATTTATTTGTAGTTTTTGTACCCTTTATAACTCATTTCTCAAGTTTTTGTCCTATTCCACTGTACTTTTGCATTTAACATACCAGAGCTTGTGATCTTTCCTATTTTCTCCCATTTGAAAACAACTTCGGCTTCTTGAAGTGCTATTTCTTGCTTTTAATAACCTCCTTTAACCTAGTGTTTAACCATGCAAGTTACTTTTTGCCTTATACAGGCAGAAGCTTGAGTGGCAAGGAAGAATTAAAAAAAAAAGCTACCAAAAAAAGCTACAAAAATCACATCAGTATGATTTGCCCTCAATCAGTAAAATCCCATCTTCATATATTCTATGTGCCGCTTGAAAAAAGATTCGATTCTTTCAGCTGCACCTTCCAACTTTTTTTTTTTTTTTTTTAAAGCAAGCTACCCATGTTTAGGTAGCTCTCTTAAAGTTGTTTATGATTGCACTCAATTCTGAATGAATAGGCTAAAATGCGTTAATGCGTTGAACACAAGTTTGAAAGTGGCTGGATCCAGAATTTAGTCTGTTATCCATTGAAATTCTCCAACTATCACCATTTTCACAATGACCGTATGGGAAAGGCATTTTCTCTTCAAATTCTTATATAACATACATTTTCCCCCTCCATATCACTTTCTAAATAGCCTAAATAGAAGAAAAACCCACAGACCTATTCCATCAAGTTTTGCAGAATGTGTAATTTATCCAAAGTCACTAACACTGGATTATCACAGATTTTACTTCCTTTTTGAATGACTATACTTTGAAGGAAAATAGGTCTCTAGTATTAATTGATTTTTTTTTTATTTTATCATCTAGATATTCACCTGAGTTTTTCATCTTTCCTCCTGAAAATCTCAGACAATATTCACTTGTGTTCATAAAATTTTAGGCCTTGAAAATACCGTTCC